CCCCCTCCCCTCGCAGGCACTGCGGGTGATGAGGTCCCTACCGCCCCCCCAGGACCCCTCCGCCCCGCCTTCCACCTCTCCCGACACCCGTGAGTATCTGTCATCACCCGTGACACCCGTGAGTCCCCCATTAACCTCCTCTTACCTGTCAGCGCTCATTATATTAAGCTCTATATCTGAGGATCGGGTTCGTTGACTAAAGTAGTAAAGGATAAGTAAGACACATCTGACTAGATAACATATCTTGATATATACGGGGTAGGTATACATTAGTAGGATACAGTATTCTGGGTAGTTATACAAGAGAGTTATACAGTATACGGGGTGGTTATACAAGAGTGTTATACAGTATACGGGGTGGTTATACAAGAGTGTTATACAGTATACGGGGTGGTTATACAAGAATGTAACACGACACATAGGTATAAGCTAAGGCGTCGACGACACGCTACATTGCAGAGCGCTTATCAGCTGCTGCGGGGGGCTCATACTAAGGTTGCTAGCCCTTATATAGCCTTCACTTCCGCCCACAACTAAGGTCTTGATCGCGTGATCTACTATTCCCCCCATTACCCCCGCAGCTGAGGAGGGGGAGCTCAAGTCCCCCATTAACCCCCCATTACCCCCGCAGCTGAGGAGGGGGAGCTCAAGTCCCCCATTAACCCCCCATTACCCCCGCAGCTGAGGAGGGGGAGCTCAAGTCCCCCATTAACCCCCCATTACCCCCGCAGCTGAGGAGGGGGAGCTCAAGTCCCCCATTAACCCCCCATTACCCCCGCAGCTGAGGAGGGGGAGCTCAAGTCCCCCATTAACCCCCCATTACCCCCGCAGCTGAGGAGGGGGAGCTCAAGTCCCCCATTAACCCCCCATTACCCCCGCAGCTGAGGAGGGGGAGCTCAAGTCCCCCATTAACCCCCCATTACCCCCGCAGCTGAGGAGGGGGAGCTCAAGTCCCCCATTAACCCCCCATTACCCCCGCAGCTGAGGAGGGGGAGCTCAAGTCCCCCATTAACCCCCCATTACCCCCGCAGCTGAGGAGGGGGAGCTCAAGTCCCCCATTAACCCCCCATTACCCCCGCAGCTGAGGAGGGGGAGCTCAAGTCCCCCATTAACCCCCCATTACCCCCGCAGCTGAGGAGGGGGAGCTCAAGTCCCCCATTAACCCCCCATTACCCCCGCAGCTGAGGAGGGGGAGCTCAAGTCCCCCATTAACCCCCCATTACCCCCGCAGCTGAGGAGGGGGAGCTCAAGTCCCCCATTAACCCCCCATTACCCCCGCAGCTGAGGAGGGGGAGCTCAAGTCCCCCATTAACCCCCCATTACCCCCGCAGCTGAGGAGGGGGAGCTCAAGTCCCCCATTAACCCCCCATTACCCCCGCAGCTGAGGAGGGGGAGCTCAAGTCCCCCATTAACCCCCCATTACCCCCGCAGCTGAGGAGGGGGAGCTCAAGTCCCCCATTAACCCCCCATTACCCCCGCAGCTGAGGAGGGGGAGCTCAAGTCCCCCATTAACCCCCCATTACCCCCGCAGCTGAGGAGGGGGAGCTCAAGTCCCCCATTAACCCCCCATTACCCCCGCAGCTGAGGAGGGGGAGCTCAAGTCCCCCATTAACCCCCCATTACCCCCGCAGCTGAGGAGGGGGAGCTCAAGTCCCCCATTAACCCCCCATTACCCCCGCAGCTGAGGAGGGGGAGCTCAAGTCCCCCATTAACCCCCCATTACCCCCGCAGCTGAGGAGGGGGAGCTCAAGTCCCCCATTAACCCCCCATTACCCCCGCAGCTGAGGAGGGGGAGCTCAAGTCCCCCATTAACCCCCCATTACCCCCGCAGCTGAGGAGGGGGAGCTCAAGTCCCCCATTAACCCCCCATTACCCCCGCAGCTGAGGAGGGGGAGCTCAAGTCCCCCATTAACCCCCCATTACCCCCGCAGCTGAGGAGGGGGAGCTCAAGTCCCCCATTAACCCCCCATTACCCCCGCAGCTGAGGAGGGGGAGCTCAAGTCCCCCATTAACCCCCCATTACCCCCGCAGCTGAGGAGGGGGAGCTCAAGTCCNGAGTGGTGGTGCGCCAGAGTGAGTGGTGGTGCGCCAGAGTGAGTGGTGGTGCGCCAGAGTGAGTGGTGGTGCGCCAGAGTGAGTGTGAACGTATTAGGGGATATTATGCATTATTATAATAATTGTTAATACTAATAATAATAATATTATTATTATCTTATTATATTTTATTATTAATTTATTATAATATAATAATTATTATATTATATTAATAATAATAATATACGTAATTATTAATAATTAATAATAATTATTATTATTATTATTGATATCGTTTCTGAGTCCAGCTCCATCATCAGTTCGACAGTATAAACATGATTAAAATTATTTTATAAGTTAAATTCTACAACATAACCTAATGTTATGTCATAACATGAAACCTAATATTATGTTATGTTATTCTATGACCTATGTTATGACAAAAGACAGACATAAACATAATGTTACGTTTAATGTTATGTCTTGTTTAGGTTTTATGTCTGTCTTAACAAATTCTAAGACATAAACTAATGTTGGGGCATAAACATTTATTGGGGCAAGCTCACCNACCCCTTCACCAGCAGCAACCATCCCTTCACCAGCAGCAACCTCCTCTTCACCAGCAGCAGCAACCGCCCCTCCACCAGCAGCAACCACCTCTTCACCAGCAGCAACCACCCCTCCACCAGCAGCAACCACCTCTTCACCAGCAGCAGCAACCACCCCTCCACCAGCAGCAACCACCCCTTCACCAGCCGCAACCCCACCACCATCACCACCAAAGCCAGCAAGGTTAATAATAATATATCAATAATATGTCCTTATCATCCGACTACCTGCCAATTATATTTACATTGTAAACAGACTATCAAACCACCAAGGCTCCAAAAATCACTTTCACTTGTCAAAAACTGAACATCAGTTTCATAAAAATTTTAATTAGCGCAAGCAACCACAACATTCTTCCAGGCCTCCACATCTGCTCTACCACCTGGGCCTATACTTTCAAAAAAAGTTAAGAGAAAAAGAGTTAAGATTAAGTTCATCAGCCAATCATTGACGGCCTATCAAGCCAAATCCACCAATCATAGGCAAGAAAATTGAGCGTAAGTACTTACATTCATTTAGTGAAATTTGAAAGTATGGCCCCTGGCCTCTCATAGAGATATCATCAACCCGACAGCAAGACATCCACCAGCTCAGCAATGACATCAAAAAAGCCTGATTGAAACACTACCTCTACCTTAAACCGCCATACCAATGTTAAGCGCCTCTGGTTAACAATAAAAGCCTTTAATACTACTCCAATAACGCCATCAACTTCAGAGGAAAACCCATCAATAACACCAAAAAGCTTGCTGATCGCTTCAACATTCTCTTCACGGCTGTCACTCAACACAAGTCCAATAAATTCAAAAGAATCACAACCCGGAAGTCAAAGAGCCTCAACCTATTGGACAGTCCCTCCCTCTCAGTGGCACAAGTGGCCAATGCAATCAAACAATCCTGTCCCTCTAAACCCACTGGACCAGACAAACTTGCTATCTTTCACCTAAAATATCTTGGACCATTCGGAATTACCTACCTGAAACCTACCTGAAATGCACACTGCCCAGTACAACCACCACCCTCAAATCAAGATCAACAATCAACTCCTCCTGCTAGAACACAACCCAAAAATACTTGGCTTAATCTTTGACACCATGCTCACCTTTACCCCTCACCACAGAACCACAGCAGCAAAAGCCTCAAAACGCAACAACATACTGAAAGCAGTCTCAGGCACCTCCTTTGGACAAGACAATGAATCTCTACTGCAAACAAAGCCATCGGCTGCCCAATAATTGAGTACACCAGCCCAGCCTGGTCTCCTGTCACATCTCTTACCAACATCACCCGCCTCCAAACAGTTCAAAACTCTGCTCTGAAAACCATAACCGGTTGCCACAACACAACTGCTGAACAACATCTCCACTCCGAATGTCAAATGCTCACTGTTCAACAACATACAGACCTCTTCTCAGCCCAGAACCTTCTGCAGAGCCAGATCCAGACCCCCTCTTCAGGGTCCAGACCCCGTCTACAGCAACATATGGACCTCCTTTCTGCCCAGTACCTTCTGCAGAGCCATGTCCCATAACACGCTTGCCACCAAATCACGAGACCCCACCCCCAACCCCGCAACAAAAGAAATACTCTTTTCACTAAACACATAATGCCGTTCAACCTTCACTTCCAACCACTATTAACAGTGCCACCCTCAAAGCAGCTAGCAGCACTCTCCACTCCAACGCTGCCCGAGCTGCCATCGACTATTGCCACCCACTCCCGGCTGGCCTCCCCCACTCCCAGCAATAGATAAATCTGAACAAACGCAAGAAGATTCGCAAGACGACGGCTGGCACAACTTTGCTCCATCCACTGTATACTCCTGAACAGCACCAATATAACACCAATAACCTGTATTCCACTGCCCCACCTCTGCCCCACCACAATAACATAAAATGTCTCAATAATTGAGGTTTTAAACTTGAATAACTTTTCTGTGCGTGGTTTTGAACCCAGGAAAGCTGTGAAAATTTTACAGTGTCCGTGCATTTTTCCTCATCATTTTTTCTTCGCAGGTCACTCGAGCTACAACCAAACTCCACCACGGTACCCGCAACCACACCAGCAGCAGTACCACGACGCCCCACCACCTGGCCACCACTACCCACAACCACAGTACAGCCCGCTACCATCTTCTCTACCACACCACAACCAGGCATCACCAAAGTCACCACAAATGATGACCCAGCACCACCACCACCACCATATGCCACCACTCCACCAACCCATGCAACCACAAGCCCCTCAACCACGGCACCACATGGCTAGTTCTGTGATGGGGCATACAGCACAACCATCTCAACCACTGCAACAAATGCAACCATCTCAGCCCATGCAACCACAACAACCACCACAACACATGCAACAACCACAACCAATGCAACCATCTCAACCACCACAGCACATGCAACCATCACAACCAATGCAACCATCTCAACCCATGCAAACACTGCAACCACCACAACCAATTCACTCATCTCAACCTATGCAACAACAGCAACCATCTCAACCCATGCCGCAACCTCAACCTATGCAGCAGCAACCAATGCAACCACTACAACCCATGCAACCACAACCCATACCGACACAGTTCACACCACCAGCACCACACTACCAAACCCCACAACCACACTCGGTGGTGCACTGTGGTTACCAGGACAACCCTGGTGCTGTTGCACCACAACCACAATGGCAGCCACCACAACCCACCACCTGCCCTCCAGACCGCCCACTCAACCCACTCAAACGCTACAACCCAACCACTGCTTATGAAACAACCACACCTAACATACCTAATACCGTCACCAACCACACCACTACCACCACACCACCTGCTGCGTCACTACCTGGTGGTGTTAGTGACACCACCACCACCACCGCCACCCATGCATCAACCACAACCCATTCCTCCACAACCACAACCAGCGGTGTTGGTGACAATAACAATGAAGTATTGTCTGATGATGAGTCAACCAATGTCACCACCCAACCCACAACCACGGACACCATCACCACTACCACCACGGACCCTCCTGAAGAGGACCCCGCCCCCCCAGACCACCAGCCAGAGCCCAGCAGCGCCCCCCCAGACCCCAGCAGCGCCCCCTGCAAGGAGAAGACCCCCATGTGCCTGGTCAACGAACTAGCGCGCTACAACAAGGTGGGGGCTAGTGGCCGCCACTAGTGGTGGGAGCTAGTGGCCGCCACTAGTGGTGGGAGCTAGTGGCCGCCACTAGTGGTGGGAGCTAGTGGCCGCCACTAGTGGTGGGGGCTAGTGGCCGCCACTAGTGGTGGGAGCTAGTGGCCGCCACTAGTGGTGGGAGCTAGTGGCCGCCACTAGTGGTGGGGGCTAGTGGCCGCCACTAGTGGTTGGAATTGTCCGTCCTGGTAGTGACGACTTGTTAACAAACATAACTTTTAAGTTAACCCTCTACCGCCGTATGTCACTCTCCGGGAATATAACTTTCAACTTAAATCATATGTAAACTACTGATATGTATAAGTATTAATAATGTACGTACAATATAATTATACGTAAACTATTAAGTGTAGCAACCTGAGGATGTTTGTACGCAACAGAGAACATTATAAAGTTGTCGTACGTGGCGGCAACCATCAGTGCAAGTCATTTTACGCTCACTAGAACCTATGTTTTTTTATTAATATTACTAATACCGGTATTATTATATTTTATTAGTAATATTAATATAGTAGTAATATTGCTTCGGTTACTAATATTATTGATGTTACTAATATTATCATATTGTTAATATTAATATACAAGTAATATTGCTCCAATTACTCATGTCAGGTGACACTCTCACAATCAAAACTATCACTGTCACAACTATCACTGTCACAACTATCACTGTCACAACTATCACCATCACAACTATCACTGTCACAACTATCACCATCACAACTATCACCATCACAATGCTCACCATCACAACTCTCACCATCACAACACTCACCATCACAACGCTCACCATCACAACGCTCACCATCACAACGCTCACTATCACAACGCTCACTATCACAACTCTCACTATCACAACGCTCACTATCACAACGCTCACCATCACAACGCTCACTATCACAACTCTCACCATCACAATGCTCACTATCACAACGCTCACTATCACAACGCTCACTATCACAACGCTCACTATCACAACTCTCACTATCACAACTCTCACCATCACAATGCTCACCATCACAACGCTCACTATCACAACTCTCACCATCACAATGCTCACCATCACAACGCTCACAGTTCTGGAGGTTCAACCTGCAGTTGTGGGTCGTCAGAACTGTCAGTTCCTTGCACTCCTGCGACGGTACAAGTCAACTTATACTGAAGCATAGCGCTGGTAGATCTCGCTGTGTGCAGTCTATTTACGTTCCATCTTATTTTATAGACCTCTGGCGTCTAAGTTGTATTAAATAAATTAATTATACTTGATTTATACATTACGGAGATTTTTTGAAGCCTATTTAATATAATAAGTACCAAAGGTCAGCAATAATAAAGAAACTTTTAGTTGGTTGTTGTTTGTGATTAAATGTCGAAATTTAATTCGTTTTAATAGATTCCTCAAAAATTGAAATTATGTATCTGACTGTGTTTCACAAAACTCGTACGGATACCAAAGACTGAGATAAAGTGTGTATCATTGAGCTGGTTTGTTTATTCCGTGATTAATTACTGATGTCTTAATAAAATATAGACGGTATGACAGATTTTTTTACTGCAAAGAAGTTTGTGATGTTCTGGCACTTATTGCGAGACCTAGGTCGAGGAATCGTTCGAGTGATCGAGCCGAGAAAGAGTTTTGAATTTACAGTTTTTCTTAGCTGTTTTTTTGGATGGTTAAAATTTAGCGTGCATTAATTTTTAATCCTTTAATTCACATTGATATTTTTATGATTTTTTAATTAAAGGTGAGTGTTCAATCGAGATCAAATGGGGTCCCTACTCCCTGGCCGGGTGGCCCCTGGGATTTTGTAACTTGGAATTCTTTCATTTTTCTAACAAAATATCCAGTCCCTCAAGTTCATTTTTGAGTCCTATAAGTAGACCAGTAAAGTATCCTGGATACCAGCACTATCATACATAAGAAATTGGTTTAAATCTTGAGTACCTAAATGAGGAAATTAAAAATGAACTGATTCTAAAAAATCTGTGGTTTGTCATTATGAATTATCCAGTTCAGAATATTACCTCTTGCCTTGGAAGCAGATCCAGCTTAAAAACATACTCAATTTTTTGGCAATTATTGTTGCACATTTTGATTAATTAGATGCCAGTACCCTCTTTAGGAAAATGAAATCATGCATGATGCATGAAGCATGATTGATGTCAACTGTCAAGACAGTTCAGGGCTGGAAAAGTCCTATTTTTGTCTGAAATATTGCGGCTCTAATATCATAATTTCAGTAGGTATGAAATCTTGCGGCTTGAATGTCATAAATTATTGTTTGATTGAAAAATCGTGGTTTGCACTTCACAAACATGTCATTTCATAAAATTTTCAACTTCTGCAATCCGCATTGCTTTACCGTTACAGCCAAAATGTCTGGGAGAAAAAAAAGGAAACATCGTAATGTATACAAAACAACTAAACGTTTTGTTGAAGATTGCGCATAGTTGCGGTCAAGTCAAAGTGGTAACTTACAGTAAAGACAAATTTCATTGTTGCCGTTTGACTGTTTTAGGGTAAAATTAGAGATTTGGGAGTAACACGTGCATGGACTTTGTAAATAAATTCGCACCTTGTAAATGGCTTTTCATGGCTAAGATATGGAATTCATGGCTCGGTGAAATGGAATCACGGCTCGAAGAAATGGAATCATGGCTAGCAAATCCATCAAACCACAGCTCAAAAAATTCAGTCGCGGCTCACCAAGTAGATATATTCCATGCCTGTGTCAAGTGCTCCAACAGTCCAACTGAGTCCAACAGTCCAACTTAATCTTGTACCTAGTAGTTATAGTCTTATAGACTTGTGGAAGGGTGGACCCGCTGGACTGGTGCTCGGTGGAAGAGATAATAAATTAGAACCCAGTCAATCATTGACAAAAATTATAGTTTCTTTACCATAATTTTTGTTAGTTGAATTAATTTTTAACCTTGAATTAGTTCCTCAAATTTAATAGGTACGGTATTTGATATTCATCAATTTTGAATACCCTCAACGCCTCAAGGGTGTAGAAATTAAGAGAAAAGAGATTCTATCCATTCTATCGAGTATTCACCAGTCACAATTTCACCAATAACAGCTGCAAACAGCATTATTGATAACATATGCGGCAATGCCTTGCCAGTTGCTTCCATTGTTTGCATTATATTGCCTATATTATTAGCTTCTTTATGCATTTTTTTATGACTGTGAATGCAAATTTTTGTCATATCTGCTTATTCTGCTCTGCAGCAATGTCAATTTGCAGGCATGGAATATATCTACTTGGCAAGCTGCGACTGAATTTTTTGAGCGGTGGTTTTAATGTTTTATGGATTTGCCAGCCATGATTCCATTCTTTGCACCGTGAAATAGCCATGAAAAGCCATTAAAAGGGGGCGCAAATATATATACAAATTCCATGCATGTGTTACCCAAATCTCTAATTTACCCTAAAACAGTCAAACGGCAACAATAATAACATTTGTCTCTACTGTAAGTTGAACACGTGTTAATGAGGTCTGACCGCTTTGACGTGACGGCAACTATGCGCGATCTTCAACAAAAGGTTTAGTTGATTTTTAGCGCATTTTCTCATTTGTTGAAAAAATGCACTAATGTGCTTGCCATCTCCGTCTGTCTGTCCGTCCGTCCGTGACCTCAAGTTTTCGTCAATGAGAAAATGCACTTTCTGTCACTGCAGCGAGTACTGAGTTATATTTTTTTATATTATGGTCGATGTGTACGTTGTGCAGGATATTCTGGCAGGAACAGTAAAGCAAGGCAGATTGCGGAAGTTGAAAATGTTATGAAATGACATGTTTGCAAAGTGAAACTGTGATTTCTTCAATCAAACAAAAATTTATGACATTCAACTTTCAAGCCATGAGATTTCATACCTACTGAAATTATATGATATTAGAGCCACAATATTTCAGAAAAAAAATAGGACTTTTCCCGCCCTGCCAATTTGTCTTAGACATTTTGTGAGTCTGTGAGATATTAGCATCCTAATTTGGAATATGGGGCAGAAGTTGCCTAAAATTGTAAGGAAAACTATCATTTCAAGAGTCACTTAAAAAATTTTTAGGCATAAATAGGCTGTTTCTCTTATTTTTGACTGAAGAAATTGATCAAATGCCATAGGACAGCCTGGAAAGGGTTGAATTGGTCGCACCCACATGCGTTTTTGTCCAATTTACGGGCAGCTTATGGCCAATTTCCCACTGGTTAAAATCTTTTTGAAGACTTCTAATTTCATAATAAAATTAGGAACCTACATTCAGTCTCAGAGCAGACGCAACTTTACTAATTTGAAATGTTGGTAAAAGTTTCCTAAAATTGCTGTCAAAAACAAATGTTTTATGGGTGATTCCCAAAAATTGTAAGTGAAAATAGGATGTTTTCCTTATTTCCCACTGAAAAAATTGTAGAAAAGCTATAGGAACCAAGAACTGGTAAAATTGGTCAGATTCATGTATATTTATGTCCAATTCACAGATGGCTTCTGCCCAATTTTTAACTTTGGGCAATTTACAATCTCTCATTTAAAAAAATGACTACCGGTATGTGAAAATTCATGCAAAAATGCCTTGCTCAAAATTGATTTAAATTGAAATAAAACTTGATAATAAAATTTGATTTACATTAAAATTTTTCCTAAACTCAGTCACTAAATTACAATCTAAAAATTTATGTATATGTTACATTCTGCACTATTTGTTATGCCATCAAACAGGGTAATAAGGGACAGGCATGGTAGTACGGGAGAGTCCTCCAACATTTCCTAGAAATATTGTAGCAAAACTAAATATAGTGGTGTAAAGTTCAACATTTTTCCTATCTATGTGGCATCAAGCAAGTTATGAAATTGTAACATTTACTACCTCAAAAAAAAAAAAACCCTGAAAAAGTGTGATAAGTGAGATTATGGAAAAGTACCTCTGATAAGGTCTGCAGCCAAAAAAAATTATTTGTCATATTAAAAAATTTTACTCACACAAAAATTGCATACAGGTGTTGGCTTAAAAACTTGATTTGCAAAATTTGCGTATCTCATTAAAAAAATTTGTGGCCATTTCTGCAAGACAACCCTAGAAACGCATTTACAGTAGAACCTTGATTAGCAAAGGCTCCATTTAACAAAAAATTAATTAACAACAAAGAATTATGATTACATTTATCATGCTCAGCATAAAATGTTTCACTTAACAAAGAATTACTGAATCATCATGTAGTTGTGCATAGAATGTCAGAGATAGACTTGTGCACTGGCAACATAGAATGAAAAGTAATTAACCTAAAATCTGATTCAATTCTCCAAAAATATGATGGTTGTCACTAAAATATTCCTTTCTGTCTCAGGTATGTTTTTTTACAATTTTTTTTTTTTGTTATAGCAAATTGACCTAACCCAATTAAAATTGTGCGAAATTACAAACCATCCTGTAAGCTTACAGATACAGAAGAAATGATATATGGCTGCCGATATGAAGCTTGCAGTGGACAAGGTTGTTGTCAATGCTCAATGGCATGTCCATGGTTATGGTAATATCACATTAATAATACGGTAATGTATGGATATGGTAATATATCAATAAAAGAAAGACAAGTAAAGATCAGAATAAATGTCATGTATTATACATCTATATTATCTACAAAGATAGGTCTTCAGAGTACTGTTAGTACCGTAATGGATGAGTACACTCTGCATGCTTCAAACTTTTTAAAATTAAGTTTTATTCCAAGTTTCCCTTATTACCCCATTCCCAGGGGGTAATTTAGGACACTTTTATTTGCGTCTGGCACCTTATAAATAGCATAATTTTTTTGGAGATGCCATACAATGGCCCTGCAAAACTTTTCAAATGAGTCCAAACTCATTTATGAAATGTTTCATGGTAAGAAGTTACTAACAAAAAATGTTAAAAACTGTCAATTTTTACCCTGTATGATGGTACTTGTAGTCAACAATTAGATAGAGAGAGCATATAATTAGATAGCTGCAGACCATATAATTAGATTTATTATGTTTTTAATGAGTTTGATTGTTACTATAATATTATTTATTATATTTTTAATGAGTTTGATTGTTACTATTTATTATATATTCTATTTTTAACAAGTTTGGTTGTTACTAGAGCAGTATTTGCAGATGCGCATCCTTGCCCCACAAAACCACCACCAGCCTCCGCCTCCTCGGCCTCCGATGGTCATGTCCATGGCCCAGCCGCCCCCAGTCTCCATGCAGGGTAACTAACTTAAACTAATAGTTTAATTGTCATGTATTTAAACTAATAGTTTACTAGTCACATATTTAAACTAATAGTTTAAATATAGGTATGTTATTGGCAAAACAGTAATACCGGTAGTTATTTTTTAAATTGAATTTTATAATAGTTTCTTATATTTGAAGTGAAATTCAAGTGGTAATGCGGCACAATATTCATAAAATGACATAAAATCTGAATAATATATGGCCCAGCCGCCCCCAGTCTCTATGCAGGGTGGGCAAAACTGTCATAAAAACTGTTTATATGTTATATAATAAATGTATATAATGTATATTTAAATTAAATAAATTAAATTTATATGTTATAAATTAAATTTTTAATAAATGTATATGTTTATACCTTTATAACATATGTTTATATGTTATAAATGCATATAATCTGAATATGTTTATTTGATTATTATTATATTCATATATTATAGCTGGATTTGACCTTGTTGGAAGGCTCTCAATTAAATCTGCTCCCAATTTCTGAAATGTTATTTGAGTAGAGAAAGCAACCCTTGAAATCTAGTACATTTATAAATGCCACTTCTATCACTCATAACTGAGCTATTTGTGTATAATTATCATTTGTTTTGCATTTAAATCAGTTAACTGCTAACTGATTATTAATTAATTAATTAATTAAGTGATTAATAAATTATTATTATAAATTATGTGCTGCCATCAGGTCTGGGCAACATGGCTGCCATGATGGCACCATCAGGAGGGATGCCCATGCTGGGCACCCAGCCCATGCCCCTGCCCCCCGACTCTGGGGTGGGTCACAGTGACTCACCCCAGCAGCCACAACCTCCCCAGCAGCAGCCGTCCTACCATCACCTCCATCACTCCGCTCCTCAGGTTATTAATTAAATAAATAAATATTAACATTTTAATAAATTTAATTCAATAATTTAATTTATATTATATTAATTTAATATATTTAATAATTTATTTTATATTAATATATTATAATTGATAATTTAATTTATATATATTAATTTGATATAATTATTAATTTAATTTACGTATATTATATTAATTTAATATAATTAATAATTAATATTTAATAATTATTGTATGAATAATTAAAATAATTATTTATCTATAGTTACCTTAGTATCCCATACATAAATTATATAAAATGCTAACACAAAATAAACAATATTCTACACAATTACTTGAGTATTTCTAGGCATCCTAATTTAAATTTATTTCTCTTCAAATTGATTGATTTTTTTATTGGTAATCCATAATAAATTTTAAGTTCATGTTTTTTATTTTCAAGACTCGCCACCAGTCTGCTCCCCCAGTTCACCGGCACCACCCACCACCGCACAACCATGGTGAGTCGTGAGTGATTCTTCTGGGTGGTACTTGGTACGGTACCGTGAAAATGCACATGTACACATATGTCAATATTAGTACACATAGCAGACTAAGTGCACTTCTCGTATATGAGGTGGCCTAAGTACATGTAGCGGCCTAAGTACATGTAGCGGCCTAAG